CCGCTGAGTTAGTCACCTGCAGCCGGTTTAGTTTCTGGAAACTTGTCCTTGTGTCTGGCTAGACTTACTGTGAAGGGAAGGATCCCAGCCTGGGGACAGCCGCGGGAGCGGAGGGGACACTGGGCGAGGCAGGAGCCGAGGCCCCACAGGGAGCACTGCTGCTCTCCCATGCATCCCTTTGGGGCTCCTGAAATCATGTGCACGTGGGACCTGCCGGGACGACTCTGATCATCTTCAGCCTTCGGGGTCCCTGCTTGTTAGCATGCAGCCAGCTTCCCGGGAGCGAGTGGGCCCTAGGGTTCACCCGGTCTGACAGGTGGAGGAGGGGTGCGCCTGCTGCTCACTGCACGGAGCTGCCTTGGACGATGGGATTCGTCTCATTCTGCCCGGGGTCCAGGAGCTGGGCCTCTGCTGTGGTGGCTTCTTCAGACGGTAGCCCTCAGAGAGGCAGACGCAGGGCAGACGCAGGGCAGGGGCGTCAGAAGGCACCTTCACCGTGGAGCTACTGCCTCATGCCACCTCCCAGCCTTGTGGCCAGCAACATTCCCCTCCCCCCCTCACCAAGCCTCTCCTCTCCCTGCCGACCCCACACCGTGAGGCCATCCTGGCTGAATTAAAAAGCTCTGAGTGGGAGTGTTTGTCAGTGTCTTCCTCCCCCTCCTCAGTGGGCCCCCATTCTCCGCTCTAGAGCTGCTTTTGTCCTTTTGTAGGCTCCACACCTAACCTTCCCCCTGGTCCTCTCTGGGTCCCTCTCTCCCCTTTGTCTGGGTCTGTGTCTCCCTGGCTGCCTCTCTCCCAGGTCTGTTCTCCTCTCTCCAGACCGCATGCTGAGCTCCTCAAGTTTAATTTGCCCAGAATGGTAAAGGCTTCCCCAACAAATGTCTTTTCTTCCATGTCCCTTGTTCCCCTGAACCCCTTCACCGGGGTAGGACAGTCAGTGGAAGCTGCCTTAGGCTGGACACCAGGCTGTGGGCAGCCATTGGCATGAGATGACTGCCCTTCCTGGAGGGGCCCACCTTTTCCTGACCACTGACCTTGCCACCCTGAGCAGGTTTCTCAGACAAATCCCCGACAGTGGCCTGATCCTCTGGCTCCTGCCTGGTTTTGGTGTAAAAATGGCCCACCCTCCCTCCCTTCCACCCATCTTTCCACCTCCCCTCATCTCCTCTTTACTGTGAAAATGGCACATGCTCCTTTTGAAAGTCATTGGCCCGCGGGAGAAGCTGCAGGTTCCACCTGCCTTGCGCTTATGTAGCACACCACAGCAGCAGCACCGCTCCTGAGTGCCCTGGCACTGACGCTGCCAGCTAAGGGGCCCTGTGTGGCAGAGTGGTGGCATGTAAGGCTCATCTCTGCATCCTGGACACCCCCAGAGGGCGGAAGTGACCAGCCTGGGGTCCCACAGCCACGTGGTGGAGCAGCAGTGCCGACAGAAGGCCAGCAGCCACTCCCTGCACTCCTCCTTTAAACGGTGTCCAACCCCGGGTGGGAAAGGAGGGGTACCTTTCCCCCACCCCATACCCCTGCACTGAGCTCCAGCCTTTTCCCCTGCAGTGCTGTGCCGTGGCCTTCATTGAGAAATTGGATGCCCAGTCCCTGAACCTGAGTCAGGAGGATTTTGACCGCTATATGTCGGGCCAGACGTCACCTCGGAAACAGGAGGCTGAGCCTTGGGCCCCAGATGCTTGTGTGGGCGTGAAGCAGATGTACAAGAACTTGGACCTCCTGTCTCAGCTGAACGAGCGGCAGGAGCGCATCCTGAGTGAAGCCAAGAAACTGGAAAAGGACCTCATCGACTGGACGGACGGCGTGGCCAAAGAGGTCCGGGACATCGTGGAGAAGTACCCGCTGGAGATTAAGCCCCCCAGCCAGCCCCTGGCAGCCATTGACTCAGAGAACGTGGAGAACGACAAGCTCCCGCCGCCCTTGCAGCCTCAGGTGTACGCAGGATGACGGCTTCAGGAGCGTCTCTCCGAGTCAGCAGGGTGGCAGGGCTGGCCCTCGCTCCCCTCTGCTGTGGGATGGAGTCCAGGGGGTTCCCGGGAGAGCTGGGGCGCTGCTTCTGGCCTTCTGAGGGTCAGCACTTTTAAAGGTACAGTTCGGTGGGGGTGGTTTCTTGGTTTTCTTTTTGTGTTTATTTTTCTGGCAGAGGAAGGGTAGTAAATAATAAACAGTTATTTATTTGCGTTACCGGAACAGATTCCTTTAAGGCT